TCGGTTCGTTCAAATGAGCTGTTCGAACAGTTCAGCTCATGTGAACTAAGCTGTTTCAAAAGTTCGGTTCGCTCAAATGAGCTGTTCGAACAGTTCAGCTCATTTGAAAGGAACTGTTCGAAGACGGTTCAGTTCGCTCAGAAGAACTGTTGAAGCAGTTCTTTCGCTCGTTTGAACGGAGTTCGTGAGCTGAGCTTGTGTACCCCTAATCACTATGAGAAGTGTACTACGTTTCATGTGATTCATTGACACAGTTCGCTGTTTCTGCACATTAAGATCGTTAGAGAGAAATAGATCATTTTTTTTCTATTCATGACGACTATGACAAGTACAGAACGGAAAAGTCACATGTAGTAACGGAAAAGCTGCCGGATAGCGATCCGTTATAGACTGGATGCAATTTTTCTCGTCCATAGTTGGTTCTAGTTACAATTCAAAAATTCTTATTATTTTTGGTGATGCTTGTATCACTGTAACAGAAATAAGTAGAAACGTGAAATTCTAGTATAGAGTAGATCTAGACATCTAGTATAAATACTGAAAATATCAGTCTCTTCGAATGCAGAAACATGTAAGAAAAAAAATATTTGATGAGGGGATCAGAACTTACGTGACACCCATTATTATTTCAAAGTAAAAAATTTCTTTGATCCATATATAAAACAAAATGCACCAAAACATTTACAACATGTATGGTTTTCTTCTCCGGGTTTTGCATTTTATGGTGTTCAACGTGAATTACTTGTTGGTTCTTATTCATCTCTAATTGCATCACTTGATATTGCTCTATTTGTACTTTTTCTTACATCAGGCAATTTATTTATTGCAATTTATGCTTTAATTACAATTACTTTTGTTATTGGTAACTACAGTTGTTATTTTGTTTTCTTTTATAGAAATTGGGGTGTTTTTTATTTAAAAAAAAATTGTTTTTATTTATTTTAGCTGTTAGTGTTGCAATATTTGCTGCATTAAAATGGGAATTAGGAATAGTTGAAGCTATTATTATTATTATGTCTGTTAGTCTTTCAGTAGATTTTGTTGTTCATTTTGGTGTTGGCTATATTCATACAGATTCAGCAGATATTGATCATGAACGAAAAAAAAATAAAACAACATTATTCATCATCAATATCAACACCAACAGAATCTCCTGATAATATGGAAATACGAATTCCTTGTAGTAAGTTGTCCTTGTCTATTTTTAAAAAAACACTATTATCGCAATTCCAGCAGGATTAAAATATGAAACACGATATAGCTGCTGTTGCTAATTACTGAAAGATAATATTATTTTATCTATTTTGGGTCACATTTCCTTACCATCCTTTCACTTAATCCTTCAGAAATGTAATAAGGAAGTAGTTCATATATTATAATGAGACTTTATTGATATACGATCACAAATCGTATATCAATAACGTCTCTCACGGTCTGTGAGGGATACAAATTTCTAATCTATATACTTCAACACTCCTTTTCGATTGTGTTTCACAAAATAAAGTAAAATATATTTTTTGATTTCTAGAAATGAGTACTTATCATTTAATATATAAACAACAACAAATCGAACGTGAAACACGTGTAACAGAATCAATATCTCGTGTTGGTTCAGCTGTTTTTATGGCGGCATTTACAACATTTGCAGCTAGATTTTCAATGACATTATCATCGCTTACTGCATTTCGACAAATGGGACAATTTTTAATGACAATTAGTATGTAAAACATATTTTTTTTTGTTTTAATTTCAAAAAAAAACAAAGATTTTTTTTTCATTTGAATTATTCTTCTAGTGCTTACATCATGGGTATTTTCAATGTTTTTCTTTTTACCATTATGTGCTTAATTGGTCCTGTTGGTAAATGTGATTCGATACCATTTACTCGAATTGGTGAATATTTTAAACGATGTTTATTATTTCGTTGTCAATATTGCAATTGAAATGAAATTGTTAATGAATAAAATTTTGTTTTGGTATACAAAAAAAAACACCAAATCTAGTCAAAAGCTATCCAAAATGCACAATTAATATGCATAAAATTACACAGTTTTCCGTTTTTTTTTTGTTTTTATTTCATACATCCCATTTATTCCCCGTCCAACATGAATATGTTTTTTTTGTCAGATAGAACAAAAAAAGACGCACAAATTAAAATTATTTTTCATTTTTAAAAAATAAAATATGAAATTGATGAACTCTAAAATTATTTTTTATTCTATGTGAACTATGTTTACAGGGCTTACTTTTGCTTTGATTTTATATTTATCTTAAATGAAAAAAAAAAACAGAGGAATATTACATTGATACAAATCCGTAATCAATTATTTTTTGTTTTGTCTTTTATTTTTAAGCAAAATTCAATCGTGATGTATGAAATCCTTTTTTTTTGTTTTTTGATTTATATTTATTACTCCTATATTGTTTTTTCTTTTGATTCATTTCATTTATCGTTGCAAGTTGCCGTTTATTTTATGTAATGTGTATGCGTTTGTATGTAATGAAAGAAATAAAAATCTCTGTTTAAAAATACAAATATAAAATTTATTTAAAAGCAAAATACATAACATATGTCAATGGTTTTTCTTTTTCTTTTATTGCTGCAATGTTTGAGACGAATTTATTGATGAATGGCTAAAGGATTTTATTGTTGTTTTACAGCTAAATGAATGAATTACATCAATATGATCATAATCGATTCATAGGTTTTTTAAGAATAAAAAAAAAATGTTTTAGACTATTGAGGTATATGATCGTCTTATAAATACTTATAATCATAAGATCGAATAAAAGTAAATTCTTGTTGCAGGAGAAATTACAAATGATTTGTGAAGAAATTGATAAATTTTGTTTTTTTTTATATAAAAGAATCTGATCAGAAATCATCAGATCTTTCCTCATTTTGAAAAGATTATAAAATAAAAGTAACAGTATACGACTCTACCTGAATGTCAATTTATCAACATTTTATTCCTCTTTTGGACAAAAACTTAAGGAATATCAAGACACGCGATGCACTCTTGCAAAAAAAATTAGACAACTGACGAATAGAACCGTGCGGAGTTAAGTTTTTTCCAACTCTGACTTCGAAAAATATTTTTTGATTGGTATATACAGTGATTTCAAAAATTAATCATATAAATTTAATTTTGATTTTATTCTGTAATGGTAACTCGCATAAAGAATCAAAATAGTGACTTGGATAAAGAAAATTGTTTCCAACAAGTATTTGAGGGAACTAAAATCTTCACAATATGTACCAAATCTAGTTGTTCTGTCCTCAGAACCTGAAAATATAAGCTTCTTTTGATTACACAGATTAGCAGACCAATTCTCTACAAAATGACATGTCTTCGAGCTCTCCACGACATTTTTTTGACTGAACTACATAAATTTTAAGAAAAGCTCAGCAGTCTTTTCTATTCAGTTTTTCTTCATGAGATGGTGAAAAAATTACTTTTGAGTGTTTCTTAATATTGATGTAGGTTCCGTCAAAAAAATGTCGTGTAGAGCTTGGAGACATGTCACTTTGTATAGAATCAGTTGCTCTGTTGTTCTGCGAGATTCTGGATTTTGAGAATACTGGAAAGATTTTATTTTCCTCAAATCCTTGTTAAAAACAATCTTCTCAATTCAAATCACTATTTAGATTCTTTATGTGAGTGACCATTATGGAAAAAAAACGAAATTGAATATGTACGATCAATTTTAGGAACCACTATGTACTTCGCTTTGTGTTACTTGTTAATGAAGATTTCTCTGATGTTTTTTTGTTGAAACTTATTTATGAATTTATTAAGTAATATATTTTTGTGTACTATTTAACATATGAAGCCTAAACTAGTTGCTATATAAAAGTAAAGATATTTGACTGATTTAATGATGTAACTCCAACTTTGACTCGGAAAAAATTTCTTTTAGTGACTCCGAGTCCGATGCAGGGCTCCACTGACGAAGGATATTGTTGCAATTGATCAATTGTCTGTTAAATTGGGACTATGTGCACCATGCAGACTTTCATAAACGACGAATAACCTGCAAAATGTTTAAGGCCTTAGCTTATTGTTGCCTAGCTATTGAATTTTTTATAGTATTTTTTAGCATAATGCAATGTTCTCTGTTAGAGATACCGAGAAAACTGAATTTCTAATTTAGATTTGAATTTTTGGGCAGAGAACGAGTTTAACGAGAATAGCTCATTATGATGCTTTCAGATCTTATCATTGTTCCTATTCTATTTTACAGCTATGATAAAAGAGTGATTTTAACATCGCTCATATATACCGGTTTATTCAATGTTCTTATATTGGGATAGGAACAATGAAAAGATCTGGAAGTTTGACAATGAACTATTCTCATTAAGCTCTATCTGTACGCAAAAGTTCAAGTTGAAATTCGACATTCAGTTTTCCTTGTATCTCTGACGGAGACTACGAGATTTCACTAAAAAATATCGTAAAAATTCAGTACCTCAACAGCAATAAGGTAAAACTCCAAACTCTTTGAAGGTTATTCATAGCTTATTAAAGCCTGCATGAAGCGCCTAGTCCTGACTTAACAAACAATTGATTAGTTGAAGACTTCCTTCGTTAGCTGTTTAACTTTTTTTTTAGAGTTTTTGTCCACAAAAGGGCCAAGGTCTTAATAAACTGACATCAAGATTGTTGGATAATATTAAGATATTTTCATTTTATAATGTTTTCACATTGAGGAAAGTCTTGATGATTTCTGATCAGGTCCTTTCATAGAAATTTAGTTTATTTTAGACTTTACACCGAAACAACTTCAACTCTTGTATATTCATTTTCAAGAACTAGTAAAAAGAAGTCCACCACTTGGATTTATTATTTTCGAAGATCTTTTAGATATACGTGAAGTTGCATTAAATCTCTAGCCGAATGTCTTGCTGATGTTATCCTACAAGATTGTGTTTAGTTTGTTTTTGTCTAATAAAACGCTTTATTGAAAAATTTCATTCTTCAAAGGTGATACTAATAAACTCAATTTTCCAGAATTTGCTAACGTTCTTGCTTGATTTCGATGTAGTAAAACAATAATTGATTTGAATACAAAAGAAAAAAATGATTATTTCTATATAGTGTTTGTATTTATTTTCTCGACTGAAGGGAGGATCACATGAAACAAAATGAGTTTGCATGCTGGTATGTTTGCCTGCCGATGTAAAGTCACTGTACACATATATTTGGAGGAGTTCAGCTAATTTATTTGAAATTAGAATTTTTCGTGATAGGAGTTTAGCCAATCAAATGTTTTCACTGTCTAGTTCTCGTCCACTCTGTTTCTTCATGCTGAGAGTTCATACAATCCAATTTTTTCCCTATTCAGATTTCTTTCATCCAGTTTTTCCAGACTGGTAGATGCGCGAATTATATGGGCGGTGTGGCTGATGGACATAGGATAGAGTTCATCACTTTTGAAGCAGACCGCTGGTGTGTAGTCTGAAAATTCCCTGTTTACAAAGTCCGAGTCTGACGCGACATTCGCTGCTCTATAAGTAATAGTCAATTATGCCCGCATTCTTTTATGATTACTGCCAAGTTGCTCTCAGAAATGTGTTGGTCGTCCTTGCTCCTGAATCTAAATAAGAAAAAAAGGCATTTCGTACCTTCGGAGCAACTTTCTAGACGGATTAAAAAGATTTAGTGAAGATATTAGAACCTCATGCATTCGGAACACACTGGCCATGAGAGTCATATTGTGTACGAAATATGGTCAAATTTACAGTGTTGTGTCGTGATGTGGGTGTGAATGTGCATTTGTAATTGTGACCTTTACTTATCGGTCTGAGTCGGAACTTCCAACAACCAACTTTTTTGGCCTGATCTGCAATAATATGACTTCGAAGGCCTACACACCAGACTGAAAATCTCTATAAGATCTGCAGGTCAAACCATGTCGTTTGATGTCTCTAGTTTTTCGAATACATTTACTTCTATAACTTTGCATTTATGTATTATTCTAAGTTCAGTTGTTCACTCACTTTAAGATAAGTGTATGAGTAGAGATTCAAGTATTGTCTCCACAGAAACTCATACCAGTAGATTTCAAACTACACCCTGAACCACATCCCCATCACTAAGCCTCATCTACATTCAGGTCTATGTCACACGTTTCCACGCATACTTGCAGACTGTCACTTTTCAGTGTAGGAATGTGTCTTATATATACATAATATATACCACATTCATTACTACCATGAAGGTTTTTTCATGTTATTTTCTTACTTGAATGTAATCGCACATTGTATACCATACTGTCTACATACACGTTGATTCTTTTTCCTGGCAATCATGCACTATCGAAGAACAACTCAGTGATAACTATGGGAACCATAGATGCAGTGAAAATATTCCTTCCTTTATTTATAAATGTAAACAAAACGAAGAACATCTACAATTCTATTGATAATGGATAGATTGTTATGATTGAACAATAAAAGAGACAAGATATTAGTCTCGTCTATTAATCATCAGCTCAAGAGTGAGGAACGAACAGAAAATATTGTTGCAGCGAATGTATGCAGCATGTGCAATCTAGGTTGATGATAGGAAAATGAAAATTAGGCTTCCACACTATAAATACACGACACAAGAGAAGAGAAAATCAATAATGCATTCCGGCTCCGAGAAGGATTAAGTCGCATTTTATGGCATTCGTACATCTGTTCTTGAACCAATTCGAACATTGACAACTGAACGCATGTCATATGAGAACCAACTTGAGCGTCATGTCGATATGTTCATGGTAATAAAAGAATGAAGCGAATTATCATGAACAAGTAGA